TCCCTCCCCCCCCCCCCCTTCTCTGAATAGCAAAGACCCCAGGTTTGGCCCTCCTGCCTCCCGGACCGGCTGCGCCACACAAAGAAGCCACGCGCCCGGGCGCACAGGCGAGGAGGACGCGGCGGCGGCGGCGGCGGCGGCAAGAATCGCCAGCGAGCAGGAATCGCCAGCGAGCAGCAACAGCAAGCGGCGGCGGCAGCTTCTGTTTCTTCCCCCCCCCCTTTTTTTTTCCCCTTGGAGAGGGGAGGGCGCGGGAGAGAAAGAGGGGAGGGACGCAGGGAGGGGAGGGAGAAGGCTGGACGCCCGGGCGCGCGTCCAGGCGCACGGCGCCGCCGAGGATGCTCGCCTCCCTTCGCCTCCTCGAGGGCGGATGGAGAAGGGAGAGCGGGGCCAAGAGAAAGCAGGGGACCCGGGGAGTGGTGGGTTCCAGTCCTGACCTCCATTCCCCTCAGAGGAGGAGGAGGAGAAAGGTGCAGGTCTTGACAGCAGGACAGTTTTTTGGATTACTTACCCCAAATTCTCAACCCCAAAATCTTACCTATAAAGAGTTCTAGAGAGCCAAAACATGTTTGGTTGTAACTTTCTAGTGAGCCAATAGAGGTATTGTTGAACCCAGAGCAATATATTATTATATATGATGGCAGCAACTAGAGATGGGCACGAACCTTGCTTTGGAGGTTCGTGCTGATTCGTGCCTTCCCCTGCCTCCCTGGCCAACAACCCACTCATCACTCAGAGCGCACTTCTTCTCTCCTCCTCCTCCTCAGCTGTTCAACCCTACCCTACCCCCCCAGGAGCACATGGGTTTGCCCCTCCCACCTCCTTGTCTGTTTGGGCAACCAGCCAAGGAGGCGGGGCCTGTGCTCCTGCCAGAGACTGGCTGAACAACGGAAGAGGCGGAGAAGAGCCACAATCTGCCCTTAGTCCCTTTTTAATATATTAAACCATTTTAAAAGCAGCAAAAGCTTATCAGTATTCCCATGCACGTTGCTGAAAGAACCCTACTGTACACCCGAGGGGGGTATCTCACATCTTTGGAAGTAATTCTAGGTACGCAGGCATTTGTATGCACTGGCCTCTCAGTTGTTATGGAAGTAGTGTGCATATAATCTTCTCCCCTGCATTTATATAACATGAATAAGATGGGTGATGAGAAATCAAATTATGTGCATGCTTTATGAGCCAGCCCTGTGCATCCAAATGCAGGCCATAAAGGCTGGTTGACTTGTGTAGACATATTACTTTTCTTTCCACTTTATTATTATTCCACTCATTGTGGCTAGCTACTAAATGGGTAAGTGTATTCCACTCCTCCAGAAAGTACATCCAGTAGCTGGTCTCAACTGGAGTAGACCCAAGTTGCATCCATTGCATTTCCCATAAATGTTGACTTAATTAGTCAGCAGTTGGTTCAATGGGTCTACTCCAGTTGAGACTAGTAGCTGGATTTGGCTCCTGTGTCTGAGATGATGGGAGACAATGAGAATTCTCCCTGCCAGGGTTCATTCATACACAAACATTCCCATTTATGCTGTAACCATACATTGATGGGTAAAATAGCTTAAAATATCCCAGGATTTTTAGTTAGTATATTCAGGGGCACCTTGGGATGTATTTGTGTGCTTTAATTAGAGCATAGGAGATGCTGAAGGGAGTGTAGTGATTACAGTGCTGGATAAGAACTCCCAATGACCCCGCTGCAAATTCCCATCATCAACATCTTAGAACTTCAGAGCTGGAAGGGACCCTATGGATCATCCAGTCCAACCCCTGTCAGGCTGGCACAATGGGGAACTGAACACCCAACCTCTCCCTCTGCAGCCAGAAACCTTAACCACTGAGCTATCATAGAATCATAGAGTAATTTGAGTTGGAAGGAGACAATAAAGCCATCAAGTCCAACCCAATGCAGGAATCCAAATGTAAGCAGATCTGACTGATGGTTGCTGAAATTTCTCTTCAATGCCTCCAGCATTGGAGCGCTCACCACCTCCCAAAGTCATTGGTTCCATTGTTGTACTGCTCTAACATTTAAGAAAATTTTTTCCCCTGACATTCAGCCCAAATCTGGTGTCCTCCTCAGGGTTGGTTACAGGCTTAATAGCAGTAAGGCCTAGGTAATGGGAACAAGGCTGTGGGCTCAAGGAAAAGATCCTACAGAAGTTGGGTAGGAAGAAGAATCTATGGGTCAATACATTATCCTTCTAGCAGAGCAGAATTGGAGGCAGACAAGTAGAACATTCTCTCTCACCTTTTTGTTTATGTTTATTTCCATTCCTTTCACCTCACACTCCAGTGTCCAGTGTCCACCCTGAGTATTCTTTGAGGACAAAATTCCCCCTTTTATGGGCCATGTTGGCAGAATCGAAGGTCATTGGGTTTCAAGCCCCTAGCTTGCTTCCCCCTACACTCAGGAATGGCACAGAACAGATAATGCTGGGAGAAGTGGAAGCCACAGGTAAAGAGGAAGCCCAAAGATGAGAGGAATTAACTTCTTAATGGAATCCACAGGCTGAAATTTGCAGGAGCCCAGCAGGGCTGTTAATGAGAGGACCTTAACATTTGCAGATCACTCATGTGTAGGGTGGCTAGGAGTCGGAAGCCACTTGGCAACATGTAACAACAGGAACAGAACAGTATGGCAGAAGCGATGGAAGTGTCTAGGATGGGGAAGTTTGCAAAAGGGGGTCTCCTTCTATGCCCTAACCTTATTCTCTCCATGGGCAGAGAGGACAACGTGCTAAAATCTGCATCTGTATGGCACCTGGCAAGATGGTTCAAGGACTTGGTCTTCTGTCTATGCCCTAACCAGTGGTCCCCAACCTTGGGCCTCCAGATGTTCTTGGACTGCAACTCCCAGAAGCCTTCACCACCACCTCTACTGGTCAGGATTTCTGGGAGATGAAGCCCAAGAACATCTGGAGGCCCAAGGTTGGGGACCACTAATCCTATTCTCTCCATGGGCAGAGAGGACCACCTGCTAAAATCTGTCTCTGTATGGCACCTGTCAAGATGGTTCAAGGACTTGGTCTTCTGCCTAGTTAGATCCACAGGGTGTGGGTCTCAAGACACCTTTGCCCAGGGATTAAATATCCCTATCTTGACAGAAGCTTCTTTCAAATCAATGAGAAAAAAATGCTATAGAAAACATATACATTCGTTTAAGAGAAGATCCCCCCCCCCGACAAAAAAATAATCCTCATTTTAACACAATCT